AACAGACATGACATACACATCTCCTGGTGAACAGGTAAGTCTTTTGACAATGCCCTTTGCCTTAGATTTAGATGTGCCTGTTGATAGAGAACTTGACCTTTGACCTGTTTTCACGTTTCTGAGCCCTGGCAAGATACCTTTTCACAATGCTTTACCTTTACAAGGCCCGTGCTGCTCTATTTTTACAAGGCCTGAGGCCTATATCGGATGAAGGCCCTTTTAGTGCTACCTTTTTTCGACAAAAAAATTGTTGCAAAAACATTTATTGATAAAGTCAAACTATTGAGAACTCTGATTAACAATTCTCACCTCTCCTAGTGGTGGGACTAGTTAAAAAAAAAAAAAAAAAAAAAAAAAAAAAAAAAAATCTTACAATTTTACAATACAATAAATAATGCTGTGGAGAAAGAATAAAATGCAAACCATTGCCCTCTTTGGCAAAAAGCCAGAAGGGAAAAAAAAAAAAAAAAAAAAAAAGGCCAAGGGAAAAGGTATCATCATATGTGCAAAGGTAACATTTGCAGCTGTGACACGTTATGCAACTACTACACTGCCTCCCCTCCTTCCATCCTTCTTCCTTCTCCCTTCTCCCTTCTCCCTTCCTTCCGCAAGAGTCATATACTGCCCCGGGATCAACCTACTCGCCACATTCTCTGGGCCATTTTCATCATCAGACGATAAACTTCTTCGGCGAAGTTCGGACGGCTAAACCATCTTGTGACACTTGGCCCAGTTGCCAGCAGAGGACGCTACACCCCCCACGGGCTCATCGAGCCTCAGAGGCAGCAGAAGAAAGGAAAAGATACAAAAAAATTCTGGCTCTAAGTACTTCAAGTCCAGGTCCAACTTGTGACTACCGTCATCCCAGGCCTGAACATAACACACCCAGGGCCTGATCAATGAATGTATACAGGCTATATTTCCTGTCCCATACGGTCGTGATGAGGCTGCGTTGCATTCGGGTGGAAGACGGTAGCCTCCTGTTCTGATTTGCCACCGTTCAACTTCAGCTGACGGCCAGACCTACCGTCTTCACCCGAATAGAATGCCCGGTTATTATAGCTGCATCTACCTTGAAAAGTGCACCCAATATGGCTATAATGACCGGGCGTTCTATTCGGGTGAAGACGGTAGTAGCACATAAGTTCTGCATTCCGCAATCTGTGCATGTCATCCTTGAGCAGGGGCCATGCCAATCTTCTCTGCATCACTCCAATTTTAATGGATGCTGGCCAGGAAGGACAAAGATAGATTCTGTACTAAAGAACATTTGCATGAAGATCTCCAGGCCATTCAGAGGTTGTTTTAGCTGCAAAACTCCGAAGAGTCCGAACCATTGAGTGAGGCATGCTGTAGACCAGCCTGGTGTAAACTCTAGTCCTGCTCCTGCTCCTGCTGCTGCTGCTGCTGCTGCTGCTGCTGCTGATGATGATGATGATGAATATGATGATGACGCACCAATGAAGATGCTCATATTGATGATGATGATGTTGACGGTATGTCAGTTATGCTGACGATGATGATGAAGATAATGATGCTGATGATGCTGCTGATGATGATACTGATGATGATGATGATGATTATGATGATGATGATGAAGCTGATGATGAAGATGATGATGACTCACCAATAAAGATGCACATAATGATGATGGTGATGTCAGAAATGCTGCTCCTGCTCCTGCTAATCCCAGAACCCAACTATACTCCTATGAGTCAAAGCTTCTCCAAACTGTTCAGAGAGAATCAATTGAAGGGATGACAACTGCTGTGAATGGTCGTTGAAGTCACGCGCAGCTCAGGACTGCCGTCTTCCCCTGAATACAACACAGTACAACCATTACCGCTGTATCCGGGGCGACTTTCAGTCTCGCTGGAGTGATATTGACTGGGCGTTCTATTCGGGTGAAGATGGTACTAATCACAATTCCGCCTATCATGGGTCGAAAGCCCTCGAAACCGTTTGGAGATATCCAATGATCCAAGGGGATGACTGCTGTGGATGGATATGAAGGAACCTCAAGGCATGAGCAGGACCATCGTCTTCCGCCGAATAGAATGCACGGTCATTATCACTTTATCTAGACTGAAGGTTGCCCCAAATGCAGCGCTAATCACCGTACTAATCCCAATTCCCCCTATCATGGGTCGAAAGTCCTCGAAACTGTTTGGAAATATCCAATGATCCAAGGGGATATATCCAATGATCCAAGGGGATGACTGCGGTGGATAGATATGAAGGAACCCCAAGGCATGAGCAGGACCACCGTCTTCCGCTGAATAGAATGCACGGTCATTATCACTGTATCTAGACTGAGTTTGCCACCCAAATGCAGCGCTAATCACTGTATGCTCTATTCAGGGAAAGACAGTGGTGACAAGCCTAATTCAAGCTCCTGTCCCAAGAGTCAGAGATTATTGCTGCTGCAAAACCCTCACTGTCACTGAAGCAGAGTTGCAAATTGGCCCTTTTGGCGACATCTGGTCCACATACGGGCTCAAACCACCGCCCTTGCTGCGCAACCAAGAAAATTCCCAGTTGGCAACTGGTAGGCCCCAACCAGGCTCGGAAAACAGGCCCGCTGCAGGCAGCCAGGGTGCAAATTGAAAACGGTACCCCACCCATGTTCGGTAGGAATCCTGGCCGCGGCTCGGGGTCCGGCAACAAACAATGGGTGAGGGTTTAAGCCCTACTCAACAACCCAATGGTCATCCCATGGCCACGTGTGAATGGATCTTTCCTCGACATCTGGACCAGGTACAAACCTTCACCCTGATCCACAGCCCGATGACAATCCCCTGACCAGTTGTGAATGGACCTTTCCTTGACATGTGGACCAGGTACACACTTTAGTCCTGATCCACAACCTGATGGCTGTCCCACGAGTCAAAGCCGTTTCGACTCATCCAAGGAATGGCCAATGACTGGACCAAATACATGTGGGCCAGGTCCAGGCTTCACCCCTGAGGCACAACCAAATGACCACCCCACGAGTTAAAACTGTTTCGAGTCTTTCGACCTATCCAAGGAATGGTCGATAACTGGACCACCTGTCGATGGACCCTGGAATGGCCAATGACTGGACCAAATACATGTGGACCAGGTCCAGGCTTCACCCCTGAGGCACAACCGAGTGACCACCCCACGAGTTAAAACTGTTTTGACCTATCCAAGGAATGGTCGATGACTGGACCACGTGTCGATGGATCCATTTGCGAGATGTGGACCAGGTACAAACTTTGGCCCTGATAGACATGTGGACCAGGTACGAACTTCCCCGATGCACAACCCAAGGACCATCCCCCAAGTTAAAACTGTATCAACCTATCCAAGGAATGGCCATGACTGGACCACCCATGGATGGACCTTTTCATGACATGTGGAGCAGGTACCAACTTTCGCCCTGATGGACATGTGGATCAGGTCCAAACTTTACCCTTGATGCACAACCCAAGGACCACCCCCCAGGTTTAATACTGTTCCGTCCTATCCAAGGAATGATCGCTGGCTTCACCACATATGGACAGGCCTTTTCGTGACGTGGACCGGGTACAAACTGTGCCCTGACCAAGGAATGGTCGACGACTAGACCGCATGTTTCGACCTCTCCAAGGAATGGTAAATGACTGGACCATGTGTGAATGGACCTTTTTGTGACATGTGGACCAGGAACAAACTTTTGCCCTGATCCACAACCCAATGAACATCGTACGAGTCAAAACTGTTCCGGGCTATCCAAGGAATCATTTTTACCATCTGCCTTTACCCCAACAAAACACCCTATCATCAATGTAACACTGCGATGTATGGTGATGTGAACCGTACATGCGTGCCATTTAGCTGGGGCGTGATCTATGCGCTCGTGGAGGGTGAAGTTGTCGTTTGCAATGGTTTGATAACATTCATTTGACCGGCACCATAATGACAGTGGGTGTTATTTTCATGGGAACAAGGCAGGTGAAGTACCGTCTTCCCGTGATCATAACGCACCCTCATTCTGACGGTATGAGACCGGATAGGTAGCTCATGTACAAGGTGCGCTACGTTCGGGGGAAGATGGTAGTGTGAACCACCCAGGACCGTTCAATTGATCAAAGGATGTGTACCAGGTGCATATGTGTGGATCATGGTTCGAACTGGGTGTAAGCGTCCTATCCTGTTCCAGATCTCCAAAACCCATGACTGTCCCACAAGCCAGGCAAACCGTCTCGAGTAAATCATCAATCTCAGAGATAACTAGTGTGCTTGTACCCAGCTTTGACAATTCCGCGCTTGCTCCAGCACCGCCGACAATCCCTCTGTCCATAGTCGGTATGTCGCAATGCTTCCCGCCGCCATGAGTCGATCTCCTGCTGTGGTGGAAATTAAAAACTCCCTTGCATCTTGGTTTGACTCCTTCAAGTCATGCAATGTGACTGTAACACAGGATTCACCAAAAGCAAATATATTTTTAGTACTCAGTCTGGTAATAGGACTGCCCCCTCTGAGTTTTATATATACTATATATCGTCATATGTATTATCATGTATACATATATTTGAGTACTAGCATACAAAACCATTCTAGTGCACATAAGGGCCAGAAACTTGCACAGTGCGGGGGCAAAGAAACGACACTGTTTCCAGCAGGTGCAGCTCCCCACCATCAACATCATCATCATCTTCATCATCATCATCATCATCATCATCATCATCATCATCATCATCATCGACATCACCATCATCATCGCTATCATCATCATCATCATCATCATCATCATCATCATCATCATCATCATCATCATCATCATCATCATCATCATCATCAGTTTGTAATCATAGGGGC